AACAGCGACCCCAACCCCGAAACCCACTGCGACGCCGACCCCGAAGCCGACCTCCACTCCCACGGCGACGTCGACAGCAACCCCAACCCCAAAACCCACCGCAACGCCGACGTCGACGCCGACGCCAACTCCAACCCCCAAAACCACCGCAACACCGACGCCGTCCCCCAAGTAGTGAATATTGCACACTATTGAACTAGGGATTTGGTGTTTTTCAGGGACGGGATCTCATGGTCTCCAAGAACGACGTGCCTGTGGTCAAAAAGTGGTTGCAGAATTGGCAGTATGAGGACGAATGGCAGCTGGAAATAGGGTGCGGTGCAAGAAGCCGGCGCAGGGGTTGGGCACACGGTTTGAGAGCAGGTTGAACGACACACATCAGAGGCCGGCGGCCGCAGGACCGATTTCGAGGGAGTTCTTGCCTCGAGAACTAATGCTCGAGACTTTCTGTTTGGCTTATTCCAGTATACGACCGCAGAAGACGGTTGTAAGAAGTCAGGAATCTGGAACGGGCCCTTTGTGACAATAAATCGTGGATGGGACTTAGAATGGCTCTTTTGAGCCAATGATTCGTTTCCACAAACCTAGAACAGCCCCTTGCAACAATAAATTGTGCCTTTGTTGACAAGAGCATGCATGATGTCTAATTACTCCAAGGGTCCAAACCTATCTGCTATAAAGCCTTTGCTGATGCATCTTGTCCAACTATCAAGTCGGAGGCCGCTCTAACCTATGCAAACTTTGCAAGGAATCAGGGCCGTTCGCATCTCTTCACAATATTGAAATCTAAAAATGTTTTTTACTGGCCGGGTTTGGGCTGTACTCGAGCCACCGGCTCTCCATAAGCACTTCACTCACGAATAATATATAAAAGCATAGAGATACCTAACAAGGAACCGACCCACGTAAGTCGTGTCAGACCAGGTCCTCACTTGCTATGTTTCCAGCTCAAAGGCAGCCATGCTTCTCCTATGCCAGCACACGAGATGCTATGCGGACACGGACATGCCTCCAAGCACCATCTCACCTTACCACGTTCTTCACTATCTCATGTTTCCACAAATGCCTCTCTCACAGGCTTCACCGTTCACAAGTGGCTTCATGGTACTATCTTTCTCGAGTAGAACGTCAGCAGTAAACGCGCCCGGTCTATTGGTCCATCATGTAGAAACGTATTGTAGTACCGCGTCAAGCTGCAATCCACGATGGTCTTCAAGATGGTGTCCTTACAAGATTGTACCTATGCGGTCATGACTGGTTCTGGCGTTCGGTGTGTTCTTGTCAGCTAGCATGCCTGCCAGTTGGCCTATCCTCGGATGGCACCTGGTCTTTCTACAAGGGAGAACGCACTGCAAAGGATTGGGCCACCTACCTCTCTGCAATGACATGAGAATGGATCACGGGCCTCACGCATCATAAGGAACCTTGGGAGCGCCGTTGCAATTCACAAGCGGTGATTCTCGCGGCCTGGTTACCTACCCCTGACACAACCCCAAACAATCTACACGTGTCTCCACATACATGACCGGAGTTCCGGTTCTGGCAGCCTCACATTCAGATAGACCTGTGGGCGCATTTCGCAGAGTTGACGGCAGTCATAGTGCGTCAAGTCAGTGTGTCTACAAGTTTTCAGTAGTTTTGCCCACTAATGTGAGGCAACAAACGTCATCTGGCCACACCAAGCACTAGTTCAAGAGAGACCATACGTTAATAATTTAAGAGCAAACCTGTGTTGGAACAGCGTTAATCTGCTACGCTCAAATGGACCATCTGACGTGGTCTCAATGAGCAAATATGCAATCAGCAGATCATTTCGGAGATGTTGAACAAGCTAATAGCAAGCCTTGACAAGATAAAGCGCCACAGGACTCCGAAGCAGCTGTGTAATCTACACGTGACACGCATGCCCCCGATTGCACGACACACATTCTTGATAAAAATGGGTTTGGTTCGGTTGGAACACGCCATTTGAGCATGTTCTAATCAAAATGCAGTTTCTTGAATGGTATTACATGTGTTTAGTGAGCTAACACCTACACATATTACGATTCTCTAGTAAGCTAATCCTATAACTAGCCTATGCCTAAGCGTGTCACCATACCGTCATCATTGTGACGAAGGGGCACCAGCTTATTCTCAGCTCGATCAAACTCCAGAGAAAGCTCGAGAATCTGAACTCCACCGCCAGTTGACGGATCAACACGTAAGCCTGAACCCTTTTCGATGCTTCTTTTTGAGACCCGCTTTCTTCCGAGGTTTGCCGACATTCGCTGCATTCCTGCAAAGTCAAAAACAACTTGACTCAAAAACAGATAGTCAAGCCGACAGATGCAATAGAGACGAAAGTTTTAAAAACTTCTGAAAGCCAGCATCTCAAAAGCATGACACTGGCACTGGCGATGAGAGCTAACTGTAAGAATGCCACTATTTTGTGTGTAAAGACACGATTCCACCCAAGATAGATGTAAACAAACCTGCCACACTCGCGGAAGAGATTAGAAGAGTGAGAAACGATGTTTTTGTATGGCTGGTCCTGAAAAGTCCATGGCTGCATAAGAGAAGACATATGAAGCCTGACTTGCTTCCCATCTTGGAAGGCGGAACGCACTTTTGCCTGATGCGGCAGGGGTTCCATACGGCAGCTGAGTAGCTCCGGCGGGTGTTGCCTCAGCAACCTGAGCAGACTAAGCGCACTGAGCACCCTTTCTAGCCATCTCTGCAACGTTTGTATGTGGCGTAAGAAGCTTGGAGATACCTTGCGCCAAGAAAGTGAATCAGCCCAGGTTGATTGTTGCTACAGCCACGTACTGTGACCACCGCAACAGCCTCATGATCCTCTGACCCGGGAGAAATGGCTTTATGTAACCTGGTTTTTTACTGTTGAGTCTTTACGGGAGTTGGGAGCAAGTGTCCGCGAAAACCGGGCGCGTGGAGAGTAATTCGGAAACACGTGTGTCCGCAAAAGCCGGGCACGATGTAGAGAAGCACGTTTTCGCGAAAGACGGGCGCATGTGACAGAGTGTGTCCGAATTATCCGGCCGGGTCCAGCCGCCTGGTGCAATTAGCGACGGTCACGTGGCAGACAAGGTGGGACTAGCAATCATGGACTGCCACGTAACAAACAAGCTCACCACTATTGAATTTGCTGACCTGTTGCTGACGTCTTGGCTAAGGTTCGAAAACATGTCCGCCCTGCTGAATTGAAGGCTTGCAATCCGTGACTGCCGCATGGCATACCAACTTGGGAGACTTGCAAAACGTTACCCAGAGTCAGACCTAGAGCACTGTCAGACTGGTCCCCGACTAAACGTCAAAACCCGGCTATTTACCCAATTACCAGACACAGCAGGCCGCCCATAACTCTGATAACGTGCCAAAGTGGATATGTTTGAACATGCGGTGACTGAAACCTATGACGCAACCACCGGGTTCGCCGCCGGCATAAGGAACTTCTAGCATAAGGATCAACAAGTTTGCGCTGGAAGCTTGGGAGCAGCAGCCACGGTTTTTGATACTATCGACAGTCGAGTAAGTATTCAACTCTATAGTGGTCTGTGCGCCGCCTTTCCGGGTATCTTGCAGATTTCATGTACTTTTCAAATGTAGGGCCTTTCGAGTCCCTATTTTTTTTGGCACGCTCTTGGCAGTTACAGGCGCAATGCGAAAAAATGCGGCATTATCAAAGTTCCGGTGCATTATAAAAGGGATGGTATTTTGTCGGGGTTATGCATTCTGAGCGGTGTGGGTTTTCAAGGTTGCTTGTAAAGGTGTGGCTCTGGGAGCTCTGCTTTTTAGGGTTTCTGTGTAGGTTGTTTTGGCAAGCCCTTGACTACGTGAAAGCTATGCTTTTTAGGTTTTTATATGCACGGCGAAGAAAAACAACCCTTGTACTTTGTAGGGTGATTTTATCCAGAGTAAATGTGTGTTATCAAAGGAGTGGCCTTTCCAAGTGGCTTTTTGTGTGTGTCAAAGATTGCATATTGTGGTCCCTGTCGAAATCGGAGATGTGGCATTTTTTGAAATATGCATCGCATGCAGAGGTGGTGCTTTAGGGTTTAGGGATTCCTCTGTCGAGTATTTTCCAGTCAAATGGCAACATCATTGCATTCCTTTGCAGATGGATAACAAAGAGAAAATGAGGTGCGCACCAGGTGAGTCTGTATTCTCTTTAGTTGTCTCCATAACGCATATGTTTTCTAACACCCGTCGACAGCAAAGGCACCACACGCGTCCGGTGAGATTGGGATTGACATGTCTCGCATCTCATTATCACTCCTTCGCCATCTGGGCCATTGGTGTGGACGTGGATGATCTGATTGGGAGCCCACCCTCTCTGTGACGGTTGGACAGGGTCACACGCTGCCTGTCTACTTCACATGTGCGGAAACCATGCGAAGCTTCTCAGCACTCCTTGGGATCACCTCAGCAAGAGCGCCTCTCAGAAAAATTGCATCTTCTTGCCTTCTTCCCAAAGACTGATTAGTTAGGACTCACGAAGAGGCTCCATATTCAGTCGAGGAGTCTCGAGACTCGCACCTCGCAAGGCACTTGCGTTCTTTACGCTTGATGAAATCACAAGAGCCATGTCGA